TCGAGACGAGGAAGATCTTAATGAAGATGAGGAGAGATACTCCTCAAACTTGGCTTGGTCAAACTAGTTCTTGACCTCTGCATCAACCGAGATCTTGATCTTTGGTTGTGACACGACAGCCTCGACGGAGAGGCTGTTAGCTCCCACTGTAGTCGCCAGCGTGTTTGCATCGAAAATTAATTTCATTGTTGAATCCATTACAATTGTTTATCAATTACAGGTTCAAAGAGAGTCTAGCATTTTTATAAGACTTCTCACTTACACAAATAAAATAAACAAAAATTTTCTAGAAACACACACAGAGATCATTTATCGATCTGCTGCTTACGTGGTATCTTTATATGTGTTGGGGATGCTTTGATCATTGGATCGCCGAATATCAAATCTGGTTGATCATGAAGAAGGCTTATTGTTCTTGTTTTGTGATAGAAATAATAACAGAAGTAAATATCTCAACAATGTGAGATAAATACTCTTCTCAAGATCAAAAACAACGGTTTGATCCTAAGGAAAAGGTCAAACAACTGTAGATCTCTCGAAATCTTCTCTTTATGCATAAGAATTCGCTAAGATCTCACCTCTCTTGCTGTAAAAACGTGGCTCTGCTCTGGAAAATATGGGTTCTCTCTCACGTTCCTCCTCGCTCTTCACAATTGCACAAAGGGGGGTATTTATAGGGCTTGAATGTCATGTTTGTGGATAGAAATCCACGATTTGAACCTATCTTCAGTTAGAAAGGGTTCTCCCATATTTAAGAATAACCCAAGGTAGTTAGGAAGCCACTGGAACCGTCAAAACCGATAAAAACCATCAAAAAACGCATCTCGGGAGTTTACATGTGCGAAACATACTTGTGTGTTTCACACATGTGCGCGAAACACAATTGTGTGTTTTGCATATGTGCGCGAAACACAATTGTTTGTTTCGCACATGTGCAAAACACACTTCTGGTGTTCATTTTTTTCGTCGTTTTGCCGTTTCGCATGCTTCTTTGCTTCGTACGCTTCGTCGACTCGCTTCGTGCGCTTCTTTACTTCGTATGCTTCGTCAACTTGCTTCATGAGCTCCTTTACAGAATTGGATGATCCTCTTTGACTCGGATGATAACGTTCATCGCCTTCTCTTCGTCTCGAACTGCGTGCGGGAACCTATAGGAAATTTTTGACGCCTAAGTAAATAACCAACCCCAATCAACTTGGAATACGGATCAATCAGGAATCCCGAATCACCCAGGAACCCGATCCGGTCAAACGGTAAGTGCAGTGCGGTCGACCGGCCAGAGTGCTCATTTTTAGAGCCTGCAGCGTGCACGTTTTCGAACTACTGACATTGATCGATGTGAACCATTCGGTCGATCGGCCAGAGCCTATTTTTCTATTTCCTGATTTCTTCTGATTTTCTTGCTTTGACCTCTTTCACCGCCACCAACGGCTCCACCCACGCATCTATTCTCAAACTACCATGAAAATCATCTAACCTCATGCTCCCATAAGGATCGCTAAGCTCCCGAAGCAGAGAGAAGATACACCTGTATCATTACATAGTGGCCATATCTGTGACATATGTAGCATTCACTATTTGATTTATTAAAATTTCCTCTACCACGTCAAAAACCTCGACCTCGATCTCGATAATTTGAATTTGATTGATAATTGCTTCTATGATTGTTGTCATCTCTTTTATTATTGTTATAACTACCACGTCCTTGACTATTGAAGTATGTGCGTCCTCGGTTGTTGTAGTTCTCGTATCCTCGTCCTCTGCCACAGGAATTTCCTCCTCACTGGTGTCTTTCGTACTGCGCTCCTTTGTTATTTTTTATAAAAACTTGACTTTGAAAAGTTTTCTCAAGGGGCTTCTCAGTTGAACTCTCGTTCATGCATTGCTCGTGAACTTGTAAGGTACCCATCAATTCATCAACTATTATCTTGGACAAATCCTTCGATTCTTCGATTTACACCACGATATGATCAAATTTTGTTATAAGAGATCGTAATAATTTCTCCACAATTGCTAAATCTACAACGTTCTCCATGTTTATTTTTATTTGATTTGTCAAATCAAGTACTCGAGTCACATAATCTGCAACATTTTCAGAGGATTCCATCTGTAAAATTTTAAATTAACATCTTAATGTTTGAAGCCTAACTTTTTTTACTTTTTCAACTCCATGGTACGACGTCTCCAAAGTATCCCACGCTTGCTTTGTTGTAGTTGCTCCGTCGATCTTTTTAAAATTTGAAGCATTCACTCCTTGATAGATATAGAATAACACGATTCGATCCTTCTTCTTGATCTCACTATAGGCTTTCTTCTCAGCTTCACTTGTGTTATCTACGAGATCGGCAAATTCGTTCTCTGCGACACCCAATATATATTGATATTCAAACAATACCTTCATCTACACTCTCCACCAGTGATAATTCTTCTCATCCAATCTAGGAATAGCAGGCGACGCCGTCTCGTTTAGATTGTTCATGGCTCTAATACCACTATTGGATCAACTACTAACAAAGAGGCAATTAAATAATCAAAATATAAGAAAAGATACAAAAGGAAGAACAACTAAATGTATGCTTTCTGTTTTGTTTTGGTTGCTGCTACAATACACGTTTTCTTTTTATTTCTTTTTTTTTTTTGTACAAGGATGCATGAATGCCTATTTAAAGACTTACAAAATTCATCTATCAAGAGTTCTAATATAATAAGAACTCTAAAGCCAAACTACTCTAAGCCTATAGATAAATAATATGAACTAATTCCTATTAAAACAAACTCTTATAAAAGAGGTGAATTTCTATAGATAATAAACTCAATTTCAATTCTTTTAGAATTAGGATTAACTTCAACATCTTCAACAAATTTCAACAAAATCTCGATATCTACAGTGGTAATGAATCTTTTGCATGACTGACGAAGATTGTACATTCTTCTTAATCAATAAACATAATGGGAGTGTGACGTCGCTGTGATAAACACATTTGCAACGTTAAGTGTCCGGCAATAATAAATATCTCCCACAATGCAGCGTTATTGTTATAAATTTAAACACTCATACAAAGCGTATTATTTGAGTAGTTTTCCGATATCAGTCCCTTAAATCTTTAATAATTTTATATTAATCCCTCAAATCTTCATATTTTCATATTAGTCGCTCAAATCTTAAAATTGTGTTGATATAGTTCCCCGGGTTAGTTGGAGTTATAAAGAAACGATATATTCCATAAACTTTAATCCCAATCCTAAATTGACATTAATGATCCTCACCTAATATACGTGAACCTGTTAATAACTCTCCCAATCCAATCCCATTAAATCCATCCAAAAGCTAATTCCATTTCTCATTTTACTTTCATTTTTATTTTCCCCCCTAGTAGAAAACACCCTAGTCTTAAAATTCAATGGCTATTTCAAGGTCCTAATTAAGATTCAACAGCTATTTTACAAGATTAATTAGAGTGAGAAATGAAGAGAGGGGGTGATGACACTTGAGTAGGGCTAACTCATCACCAGGGTTATATTGCTGGCTAGCTAACCATGGTTAGGGTAATCTAACTATGATTCCCTAATGATTCCCTAATTCCGTTGCGAGATCTGGAACTGAAAAATTTCCGCCCCTACCCTCGTGTGAGAAGGTGGAACAAGCTTTGTTCCGCCATTTTTCGTGGAATTGTTATCCCCTCTTATGACGGGTTAAATGGGGAAAGAGGCTCACGTGCGGGTTTGTTAGCCCTTCTCGTTTTTTTTCTGTTTGGCAAGCTAATGACAGGTTAAACTCACTTATTCCTTCATTTATCCTCTTGCCAAACAGGGCGTAAAGGACTTATATCAGCAGATAATGAAGATTTGAAGAACTAACCACTATATGAAGATTTGAGGGACTAATATTAAATTACTAAAGAATTTAGGGACTAACATAAAAAACAACTACTTAAAATTTTGGTCAGTTTAGGCAGACCATATATGTACAGGGAAAAGAACTGACAAAAAAAAGTAATCTGGTTTAATCAATCGCATCCTATGCGCCACGAAGATGTCTAGACACCATGTAAAAAACAAGAAAGCATCCTATTTGGTAAAATCTGGGGTTAAATTAGCCAAGTTATACATGTTGGGGGAATTTGCAAATGTGAGTGACATGAGGGGTAGATATGTAAAAAACCCTATGAGTAATCAAGGTTTTCAAGATTTGGGTCAAGTTAGTGAACCACTATCCATAATTTGAAGTTGGGCTGCAAATAATCAAGTATTTCCTAAAACGGTCTATTTCATGATCACACCTAATCCTACAAGGACTGCAACTTTCCAAATACGGCTTCACTTTGTTACTCAATTCTAGTTGGTTTAGGATTCATAAGTTTCCATATACCTGCGTTTCTGAAAGAATTAATAACTGCAAGACAAAAAGAAGAAAAAGGAGCAATGAAAGAATTAGAGAAAATGCAGCAGAAATCAGAGAACAAATACAGCTATGAAGAGACTAGTGCGCTTCTTGACGGGATCGATGAGCAGAGAGACACTGTTCGAAAGGTTGTCAGAATCAAGAAGCTTCGTGATGCTCATCGTTAACACGTAAGTTTCATCTTTGAATTTTTTTTTTTTGTTTGACTCGATTCTTGATTGACTGGCATTGTTTTAACTTTTAAATTGGGTCTGAAGATATTTTGAATTAGTTTTAGTTTTTATAGCTGTGTGATGATTTGGATCGGATGTTTTTCTTATTTATTATTATTATTATTTTGTTTGTGATAACCAGCACTAGTACAAAATAGGTCTGCCCAAACGATTATTAGAACCGTTCGGACAAGTCAAAATAGCTTAAATGGTTTAAACCGTCTGAGTTAATTATTCCAAACGATTACAACCGTTTGGACTATTAGATAAACCCAAACGGCACTCCCAAACGGGTTAAATCGTTTGGGATATTTCAGCCCAAACAGGTTAAAACTGTTTGGGAGTTATGCTAGGGTTAAAAAAAATTGCCTTTGGAGACCCGCTCGTCCTCCAAATTTCACCTGCGCGGCGCCAAATATTTCATCGATCCCCAAATTCCCCTCTGCCTCATCTACTCGTGATCTTCGCTCCACCTCCCTCATCTACTCCTGATTTTTTCCTGATCTTCACCTCTGCCTCATCTTCGCCGGACGCACCTCCGCCTCATCTTCGTCTCCCCTCGTAATCCTCTGCCACCTCATCTTTGCGCCGCTCTCAATCCTCCGCCGTCTCCTCCTCTGCCTCCATCGATTCCTTCTTAGCGTTGGTCTTTGCCAATTCGTAGGTTCGGGTCGTGTTGCTTCTCCGCCTCCTCCTCCACCGCGTGCCTCCACTGTCTCATCCTTAGGTCGCCCCTTTATCCTCTGTAAACTAATATTATCTACTCTCAACAAAACCCTAAACCTAATTAATTTGTGTTCGTTATAGACAGGGATATCTCACGTAAAGCACTCGGCCCTTGATTGTATTATGTTAGAGCTCCTACCCTCATACTAGATATTATTATGTTAACTTACATCAAATTGAGATATATAGAATGCTAATTTATATATTGTTGCTGTTGTTGTGTGGTGTATATGCCTTCGGCTATTCCTTAACGGTTGCACACGGTTTTCTTTTTATTATATTTTCTTGTATGTTTAAGCTAAATCATCGATACTTTGAGTTCTTTCTATTGAAGTCTTTTTATTCTGTGTGACTGCCTTTAAACCAGTGTATTAAACACCTCTTAGAGCATCCTTGGCTTGTACTTGTTGAGACTACACATTGACGTCAATATTCACTTGGGAACATTTTATGTTGTTCTAAAAAGACATATGAAGCTTTAATGAAAACAAATCTTTAATTTAAGGAACTAACATGAACACCAATGGACAAGGAGAAAGCAATGCCTTTATCTGGATTGGTTTAGAGTTTTAAGAGTCTTTAGTTCATTTTACTAAGTTATCCGAGTGCATCTTTTCCTCCAAGATTTTTAGTATTGATAAAATACAAGACTATTGAGGGATAATGATGTCACATGATTAAGGAATGAGAATAGAGGAGTTGCTATTAGATGAACATGTTCCTTTTTGGCTTTTAATTGTAACCTTATATTCGAAGCAAAGTAATGATCATGCTTAGCTTATTCCTAAATCCATGCTTAGCTTATTCCTAAATCCATATTTTAGCAAAGTAATGATCATACTTAACTTACTTCTCTGTAAATATGGAACATCAAAAGATAACCTTAAAGCTCGAAGGGATCTGCAGGCGTGGAACATTAGAAAAGAGTTGCATCCTATACCGAAGGCAGTCAATCTTGACCAATTTGTACTCCCCAATGCTGTGTATCACATGTCACTAGATGAAAAGAAATAATTTCTTTAGGTGTTACATGAGTTGAAGGTTCCTACAGGGTTTTCAGGATCATTTGGTAAGAAGATAAAGATTGTTAAAGGCAAGATCGAAGGGTTGAAGAGTCATGATCACCATATTATTATGGTAAAGGCAAGATCGAAGGGTTGAAGAGTCATGATCACCATATTATTATGGAGCATCTTCTTCCACTCTCTCTCAGGACTTCTCTCCCTAAATCAGTCGGTTTAGTGATATATTATTATGGAGCATCTTCTTCCACTCTCTCTCAGGACTTCTCTCCCTAAATCAGTCGGTTTAGTGATAAACGATTTTTGCAGATTCTTTCAGGAATTGTGTACTAAAAACATCGAGGATGATAAGTTGAAGAAGCTAGACGCTAAAATTCCCTTAATTTTTTACAAGCTTGAGCGGATTTTTCCACCATCATTCTTTGATATCATTATACACTTGATTGTTCATCTTGCAACCGAGGCTAGCCTTGTCGGACCAGTACAATATCGATGGATGTACCCCATCGAAAGGTATCTTTAGTTTTATAGTTAACGTAATCGATATATTTTTATTTTACATCTTAGATGTGGTGATTTAGTGTAAGCTTTTGTAGGTACTTTCTCACTTTGAAAAATTACATTCGCAATTGAAATCGACCCGAGGGTTCTATTATGGAAGGTTATCTGCTAGAGGAAGTAACCACTTTTTATTCCCGTTATCTGGATGAAGACATTAAGGCAAAACTCAACATACCTCTTGTGATTCATGATGGTCCATCAAAAAAGCCAGATTACAATAGATTGAATCTCGCATTTATCAACAAGATTTATCAATTTATCCTTCTCAATATCGAATGCCTTGGAGAAGTTAGAGAGTATGTCTATTTCACATAATGCTATATATGTTTACTACACCCAAATATACTTCTCACATTACCTACTATTTTTTGACATTAGAATACACAAGGATGAAATACGTGCAATGCATAGTAATTGGAATGAGGCACGAGTTGAAACACATCATCAAGATAATTTTTGCAATTGGTTTAAACATTATGTAAGATTTCTATTTTCTCATTTTTTAACTTATTCATTCAATTTAATCTAACATCTTTATGTAATTGCCATATTGACCTTTTTGCCAGAACCGATTACCTAGTGTAGAATTGATATTAGATAAGGAACTTGGATATTTGGCTACACTTCCAGATGCTGAAGTTAAATACTATAAAGGATTCGATGTTGGAGGTTACAAGTTTGAAATCAAGTCTATAGATGAATCTCGAACCACTCAAAATAGTGGAATTACAACCCTAGGCACTAATGACGAGATATACTATGTATACATTGATAACATACTTGGTATCAACTATCCAGGTCGAGCAGGATGCACTTGTCTTTCAATGTGTTTGGTATGATATGAAGACTAGAACTGGTAAGTGGAGAGACAATTACGGGATTTGGGTAGATGAATATGGATTGACGAGTGTAAACACCACACGTTTTTCCTTTGAGGACGATCCATTTATATTTCCAGAACAAGCATTTCAAGTATACTACTCAAAGTGCTTAAGGCATTCGGGGTGGAGTGTTGTATGTTAATGGAGGCCCAGGGATACTTATGACGTCCCACAGTTCATAGATTCGGAGGTCGTAGAGATCAATGATGACGAAGAATTTGAGAAGGGAGGGGTTGTATGTCAAGATAAATCTCCTGAGTATGATAAAATTTCATGAGTTAGGAATGATTTGAATAGTGAAATACTTGTAGATATTACTACAACTTCTACGGAATCTGTAGAACCTAACACTTCTGTAAAGCGAAAAAGGTAGCCATTATAAAAATCATGTTGTTTAAAATTATATCTTCAACTTGATAAATATGTCTATTTCACATATATCTTATATGAATTGTAAAATTCTTTATAGGGCTTGATGAATATGTCTGGAGTTCCATCACGAAGCAAATCACGTAGAATTCTACATCGCGGAGACCTGCAACGTCAGGTGAGAAAGAGTAAGAGAGAACTTGAATCTGCTACAGATACACAGCACGGAGACCTGTAGTGTCAGGTGAGAGAGCGTAGGAGAAAACTTGAATCTGCTCATGTTGCTACATCCATACCTAGCATTGGGGAGTCTACTCCAGTTAGAGGTAACTATTTTTTTTCTTTTGATTCTGTTTTAACATGACACCAAATCTTTATCCTTTACTTATAAAAATCTAATCAGTTGCAAAAAAGTTTTTTATTTGCAATCTATCTCTTACATAGATATAAACGCAAATCAACAAGCACCTACACAAGAAAATGATTTACACACAACCCCCCCTTCACACTCCATACCTTCTAGACAATCATCAGGTCAGTATCTTTCTTCATTATCTTTTGGTGATAAATGTGCTCTTTGCTAAGAAATGCTTACATAATGCTTCTATCTCTTACATAATTTTAAAAGACTTCTTTACAAGTTCACCTATTATTAGCGTCCCAATTCTGTCTTTTAATCATCTTACCCACACATGTGCACCGGTGTTTGCACAAATTACTATAATCTGCCTGCTCCCTTTATAAACTTATGTTATCCAATCTATTTATTGCGAGAAGTAGAGGGTTGCATTTTGCATTGGAAAATATTAGGCTGAATTTAGATGTTTATTTAAGAAAAATGAATTAGTTTGCTTTGTGTATACTTAATTGCTCATTATGATCGCTTTAGTTGTACAGTAATGGACGTGGCTTGTGTAGCATAGTTTGAATTAAATTTAACAGGTTTATGCATCAGCATTAGCAGCCATAACTTTCCTTAGAACTAGCACGTTATCATGCATAAATTTTCCTCAAAACTGAACTAGAATATTATCATGCATAAAATTTCCTCAAGACTATCACACATTATTAGCATCTTGCAGTGTGAAGCCACGCTAACTAGCTAACTAACTATGCGAAGTTGATTGGCAATGCATTTGATAATCAGATTAATGCCAAAAAAACTCTAGGAGAAATTAATAGCATGTGTATCTACTGTGTATCTGCAAATACACAGCAGATACACATTGTTATGTATCTGCTGTAGATACACACTGTTGTGTATCTACAGATGCACAGCAAATCTGCAGGTGTGTGTATCTGCAGATACACAGTAGATACACACTGCTGTGTATCTACTGCAGATACACAACAAATATACAGTAGTGTGTATCTGCTATGTATCTGCTGTGTGTGTCTGCAGCAGATACAAAATGTACACAGTTGGAATAAAACCAATTAATTTGTTAACCCAAAAGACTACAAGAAAAGTTATTTATGAAAAATCTAGTGCAAAGAAGCAGGGGTGGAGCAGGATAATATATATATTAGTTGGCCTTCTTGAAAATATGGATTTGCCTATATGTGATATTAATGTAGTTGTTTTCGTCATCTTCTAATCAATTATATTGTTTATTGTTTGTTTTTAGTAATTACTTAAGCTGCTAACTCAGATCATGCAGTTTGAACATACATAAATAATTTTTATTGTCTAGCTGCATCTATATCTGCACCGGCATGTGTTCCAAAACACTCTTTTAATCTGCGTCCTAATCGTGCTCTGAGACGTGCGGAGCGACAGGGCGATGGACGTAGCTGTTTGTGTAAATATATCATTTTAATTTATATTATTTATTATTCTTAATATTATCTAATATCATATTTGTCTCATCGCATATAGTGCAGTCATAATCCTCTGTTCACACTCGAGGCTCCAATACTAAACCTAACCTGAAACCTGATGCTGAAAAGGGAGAGAAGGCATGGCCTCTGTAGCTCAATAATAGGGGCCGCCCCATCAGTGAGTATGCTGAGAAATGGGGAAAGTATGTGTGGGTGGAGAGCCGTGTGTACTGCAAATATCCTCTTCATTTAGAATGGGGCGATAAACATAATAGGTCATTTGACAATTTCTTTATAAGATGTCAGGTATAAATATATTTATCTGATTAATTTGTTATCATTAGGTACAATCTATTTTAACCATGTGATTCATTTATTGAATATTCAGAAGGATTATGAGTTTATCTCCCTGGATCCTAATCAGCCTCTCTCCCGTAATATTGTTTATCGAGTAATGAAGTCTCAGTTGCAAGAGAGGGTCCGGTATAATAGGTGTCAGGTAAAACAAGAATGTTTTGAGGTGTTGAAAAATACTCCCGAAGCAGAGGGGGAGGCTCTTTGGACTACTCTAGCATTTTCTTGGATTGATAGAGACTCATGGGCTAATTTGTGTGCTTATTATGATTCAGAGGACAAGAAGGTGTATAGTTTAAACTAAAATCAAATGTTTAGTAGGTAATTATAATTTTTCCTTTGTTTGATTACAAATCTAAATATGATAATAACATGCAGGATGAGGCAAGACGTAATGCGCAGAATCGGGCGTCAAATTTGCATAGTCGAGCAACCTATACAGGTGGCTCGAGGAACATGTGTCGGGCTATTGATCGATTGGTAAATTTGCTTCTTAAAGCTATTTAAAATTCATATTTTATAATTCTCAATGATTTCATCAATTATAGAGCAATTTTTTGGTGAATTGTAGAAATGTCAAATCATTGAGGATGGTGACATACCTACAATGTTGAAACTATATTTGGGTACCCACTCGTCATCAGTAAATAAGATCACTGGAGAGTATACATACCCGGAGAACAACACTGAGTATTGTGTAAGTCTTCTGGATGAAAATATGTTTACTACAACCAAATTTCTTGATTTTTGTCCCCATAAATATGTTTTTTCTTTCTAGATTTAACAAAACTAATTATTTTACCCCATGTTCCAGTTCTCAATTCATTCTTCCTAACCTAAATTTGATTCCCTATGTGTAAATGATATTTATTTTTTAAGTTGATTTCCTGTGTGTAAATGATATTTGTTTATTAAGTTCAATTCAAGTTGTTTCTGAGCATGAAAACTATACATCATCATCATGCTTGTTAACATCATGCTTGTTAACATTGAACCCAAAAGGAACTTCCTCACATGACCTCTTTTTAGAAGATACACAACAGTGTATCTGTAGAAGATACACAGCAGTGTATCTATAGCAGATACACACTGCAGTGTTTCTACAGCAGATACACACATGCTGTGTATCTGCTACAGATACACATGCAGATACACAGCAGTGTATCTACAGCAGATACACAGCAGTGTGTATCTGCTGCAGATACACAGTAGATACACAAATGCTATGTATCTGCAGTGTGTATCTGCTATAGATACACTGCTGTGTATCTGCAGATACACAATAGATACAAACTGTTGTGTATCTGCAGCAGATACACACAGCTGCAGATACACAGCTGTGTGTATCTACAGAGACACAGCAGATACACACTGTTGTGTATCTGCTACAGAACACATGATTCACCCTTTACCAGTTGGAAAAGTTAACAACGTCGCCAATAATGTCAGTGATCACTACAGGTTAAACATAAGGCAGAATAGGAAGCAAAGACATGAAACTCCAAAATGAAAAAAAAACAATCTTCTGTAATCATTTGAACTTAATAACGCTTGCCATGTAAAAACTAATCATAGTCACATATATGCAATTTGAGTTTAAGAAGAAAGGGGAACAATGTACTCACTGTTTCCGGACAGGAGGAAGCTTCTTGGTCCTCTTGTAATGTCGAACAAGATGGTGAATCCTGCTCTCAACCAGGATAAACCTGAACTTAGAGTCCTTACTCTAGTTTATTTCTGTATATTGCCTTTAGTAAATCATCTACACTTCATTTGCTATAATCCATATCAAGGATAGAATTGCTTTTATGTTATAATCATACTTCTATTTTTTTTATTTCTTTCTTAAATATATCTACTTTTGCATTGTCGACTTACAGTTGACTACTTTATATTTTGTAGAATCGAGTCACCTAGGAGGCAACCTTATCAGGGGTCGATTCAAGCACAGAGGACGATGCACTTTGTTTCACCCAGATGTTAGATTCCCTACAAGGAGGGCATCATGGTGGTTATGAAAGAGGCATGGGCATTGGTGCCACTCGGACTTAATTGAGGGCGTCCTCCATACTAGAAATCGACACTTCTAATCAGGAGCTACGTCGCGAGGTGGTTGATCTTAGAGCTCAGGTAGCTGAGATGGATAGTCTCAGGGAGGAGCTTAGGGAGTAGTTTAGGTCTCAGATGCATTTGATTACTAACAATATGGTACATACACACTCTCGCATACACATGTACATTGGCACAAATATACATACACGTATACACATAAACATACACACAAACTTAACACTCAGACATGTATACACTCATGCATTGCTACTACTTTATAGGTTAATTCTCAGGGCACTCGTTCTACTCCCACTCGTAGTGATCCACCAGCTTTTACGCGTCCGACTCCAATTCCTCAGCCCGCTACAGATATACTTCATTCTATTCGTCCTGCTTCGACTGCTAACACTTCTACTTCCAGTGCTCAAGGTTTGTCACATGAGAATCTTGCTAGGATATTTACAGGCTTGAGGCGTTCGGGCTTGTCCCAAGAGGATATTCTTCGAGGAATTTCTTTTGTTCCTTGATTGGATAAATCAGACTATTCTTATCTTATATTTTGGATGTACGAGATATTTTGGATATTAGAGATAAATATATAATATTGAATGCTTTTCATTGTGAGATATTGAGTAATTATTGTGCATGTATCTCTAATATTGCATATTGAGTAATTATTGTGTATTTATATATAATATTGAATATTTAGCACCGCTTGAGATATTTTTGTGTATGTATATGTTTTTGATTCATTGTGTAAAATGTGTATATTAAATGTAAGCAGGTAAATAAATAAAATAGCCGAAATGAAAAAAAATATTAAATTTAATAGGCCAAACGGTTAAAACCGTTTGGCCAAATACTTGTCTCATACGGGTACACCCGTTTGGGACCGCAAAATATGCCAAACGGTTTTAACCGTTTGGCATATATCGAGGTCCCAAACGGGTGCACCCGTTTGGGACAAGTTCCAAACGGGTACAACCGTTTGGGCGACCGTTGGGGAAAAGTCATCACCAATGGCTTTAGCCCAAACGGGTGTTTTTTCTCGCCCAAACGGTTGTAACCGTTTGGGAGAGTATTTTCCCAAACTTTTGTACTAGTGCAGGATAGTTTTCATATTCATCATATTACAGTCTTCATTATTACAAGATGATGGTTTGTTTTTCTTATTTGGGTTATTTGCATATATACCCCTTGAAATCATGGGCATTCGCAAAACTACCCCCAAAAAATCTCAGTATTTGCAAATCTGCACCTCAAATCATCAATTTTGTAAAAGAGATACCTTCAATTCAATCAATCATCAACTTTGATAGGCTAGCTTGTAACCGTAGTGTAAATTATCAACAACATAGTCAAGTTTGATCATTTGCTGAAATTGATAATTTGAGGGGTAGTTTCGCAAATACCCATGATGTAAGGGGTATATACGCAAATAACCCTTGTTATTTGTTCGCGTGTTTAGACCTGGGAGCGTTTAGGTTTTTGTTCTTAGCATCAGATAATAAAGGTTTCCGGTTGGCGGTTCAGGTTTCTTACTGTACAAGATTTTTGTTTTTGGCTTATTAAATTTTGATAGGCTTGCCATGTTTAAGATTAGAAGTAAGATGAATTACATGCAACGGCAGGTTATTGGACTAAGTTTTTGATTGTAGTATGCTTTTTGTAATTGCGATCAGTTTCATGTTTTTGACTTTTAATTATCGATGGATGATAAAAAGTTGCAGGTTTGTTGTTAGAGCATCTCCAACAGCTTCACCATAATTTCTCTAAAATGGTGAAGCAAAATGCCAAATTCTCTAAAAAAAATTTGTTCCAAATCCAACAGCTTCCACATTTTAGGGATTTAGGCATTTATTACAACTATAAAACATCCTACATACTCAATAATTATTAAGAAAATTTAGGGATTTAGGCATTTATTACAACTA